AGACACTCAACCACTGAACTATGATAGTCACCTGGAAGTTCATTCCAATTTTAAACATACATTGAGGAATATGAGCAGTCTTTTGTTAGTTTCAACGCACAGTTGTTAATGGATTTACTACCCTTGTCCTTTCCCCCATCTTCCAGCCCACTGTAATTTAATTTAAGACATCTCAGAATTTTTATCTTGTCTGGTGTGTAGGAAAGAGCTGACTTTACAAGTTTCTAGGCAGGAGAGCCCTGGAGTAGTATAGGAGGCTTCATGGGGAAGCTGAGAGACTGTGATTTTGAATGGAAACTGTAGGCTTTACCTGGGAAAAAAAAACAGCCAAGAAAGACCTCGGCTTTGTAAGATTGCAGTAATTGCAACCGCCCAGAAGACCTGGAAATGAGGCAGATTAGAGCTAAGATGACCCTGTCTTATGTGATGCTGAACTCTGAAACCCATTCATGTAAATATGATCTGCTGCCCAGGTAGGTTTCTGCTTTCAGATGTTTCACCTTGTAGAGATCTTGTGGGTTGTGTGGTAGCACAAGTGTAGGGCCATTGGGGTGACTGTGCCATGAGGTTAAGATATGGAAGTTAAGGGACCTAGGTTCTTGTCTGAAAGCTTGTCAGAAAATTTCCCCCTGGGTTTTTCATCTGTAAAATGGGATTTAATAATAAGGCCCTGCTTATCTACAAAATTATGGGAAAATGAAAGTGCTTCGTTGCAAATTTTGGCATGAATACAAAAGTGCCAGTTTGGTGTTGGGATATACCCAGATGCATTTAATTTTTCTATTGTCCTTGTTTGCACTTTTAACTGTCTTCTCTTCCCACACTTTTTGCAGCTGAAGGGAAATTTAGCTTTCTGTCTGGCTAGTCTAAAACACATACACCAAAATTTGGAGGTGGTTGGTAGCTAACTAAGGAAGAAAGCAGGGATATTTAGGCAAAGGCTGGGGGTCTTTGGGCCTCTGATGTAAAATGCTATTTTTGCATGGCTCCTTTGGTTAATCTTGAGTATGGATGTGACTCCAGCATGACAGAGCAGAGAAGTTCAATGTTATAAATTTTTGAAGTTGCTAAAGGAGGCCACTGTTAAACAAAAACTTTCAAGGCCTAAAGTTTTTCTCAAAGAAATGGTTTATTGAGCCATATGCTAAGTTCTGGGATAGGTGCATAGTCTGTAAGGAAGACGTATTTGCTGCTTTTGGATTGGTAGTGGACAACAGTCTGGAAAGTTCATGTGGAATCAAGATGTGGTGGCATCAGTAGTCAGCTATTCAGCTATTCTCTCTAGATAATAACAGAAAATAGTTACCTGGAAGTTGTTTCAAAGTTTTAACATACATTCAGTAATGAGAGCTGTTTTTTGTTGGTTCTGTTAACTGATTAACCTCTCTTGTCTCCTCCTTCTACTTTTTGGTCTGCTGTAATTTAATTTTAGGACATCTCAGAATCTTTCCTTGCCATGAGTTTACTGGAAAAGGAATATGATGCATTTGGGATTCTTTTTCAAGTTTGCTGATTTGATATGTCTACATGCATCTGATTTCAAGATTTCTTGAAAAAGATACCCTCGGTCCTGCTTTGGGGAATAGACAGGCAAAATGAGAAAGACCAAAGTGCTGGTTGGAATTGTTAATAGTGAATGTGGAGTTAAAACTGGTTCTTGAGTTTGGCTAAGAAAGAATTCAGAGCCAAGAACTCTAATGCAAGAAGTTTATTTAGAAAGTCACAGAGGTGGGAGAAGTGATCCAGCTGGGCCAGTGCACAGGAAAAACAACAGAGGCAAAAGAAGGGCCCTAGGAGCTTAGGAGAAAGAAAGCAAAGATAACATGCCTGAAGGGGAAAGATGCAGGCATGCTCCAGAGAGAGCAACTGAGGATAGAAGGGGTTGGGGAAAGGCATGTTCTTTCAGGTTTATAGCATTGCTTCATCTGGTTTTGCTGCTTTTCTGGGCCTGGAGCTGAAATGCAACTGAGGCTTAAATGACATCTCTAGTTTGACTAAAACTCTGTCTCTGTGGTCAACAGTCCTGAGGCTATACTCTGGCCCCCTGTTCCTCCTCTCAGGCGGTCTAAACCACATAACTAGCAATATGAAAGGTCAGGGGGATCTAAAATGCATGTCTAATGACATATTAGGGGAGGAAAGGTTACCCTGTGGGCTAGGTCCTAGTGTATAATAGTTGTTTTCTCAGTTTTGCCCATTGCTGGGTACCTGGGACTTTCTGCCCTGTTGGCATTCCATACCTGGCCTATCGTTCCTGCTCTGCTCATGCCTAATTGCCTACTCTATTAGAATGACATGGCCACGTGAAAGTCACTGTTGGAAAACTTAGAGCCAAGAATAGATTAGCTGCCTCAAGTTAGATCCATGATTGAATTGAGGGTAATATGACACCCTACTGTGTTAGAACTGGAGGCTTGCTCCATTCAGTAGGTTTTTGGGCTTCTGGTGTAGCGCTGTCATGGATGAGAACCAGCCAAATGGAGCAATTATAGGGAAATCTGCCCCCCAAGAATCTGTTCCTCTTTTCTTGGCTGTGGGTGTAGAAAATTAAGAGTTAACTGTGGGGCTCAGTGGTATACTTTTGCTTCTCTGTTTGGCATATTGGAAGTATCATGGGCATTTCAGAACTCAGGAAGGGTATTGGTATGGCTCATAGGAGACTCTGGAGGTACTGAGGACCTTTCCTAGGTGGTTGGGGGCCTCTCTCTGCTCTCTGTATACTATAGTTTCTGAGTTTAGCCTGTGGTGGGCCAGGTACTGGGTAACTATGTGCAGCCTCCAACTTGGTCCCTTGCCTAAGGTGAGTAACTTTATTGCTGGGTCAGTGATAAAGAACACCAGCTTTGTTTCTTTCTTTCTTGGACTGCTCCAGAGGGTTGGGGTGGAGAGTTGGGATAAATTCATGTTTGGGTGATTGAAATTCCAAGTCAACAGTCCTTATCACAAACCATTAAGGTCATATGTATTTCAGAAATCAAAATTTTTTCAATTTTAAAAAGGCAATACAGTGCATGTAGAGTATTTTACATACACTGCCATTGGGGTCTGGGGCAGCACCCCATAATCAAAATACATTATTTTATGGAAAATATATTAATATTCACCATAAGTGTAATAAATAAAGTTTGTTAATTGCTTTAGCTCAGTTCAAATCATGTTTTACTACCAAATTAGCCTTGAAAAAACGGACTTTGAGAGCTTTTTATATTTGTTGATTGCTGATAAAGGATTGTGGACCTGTAATTGTCATTGGTTTTGCACTTTTAATCAAATTGACCATGGGGAAAGGCATTTTCTTGATGGATATTTCCTTGGAGGAGTTCTCTGATGAGGTATTGTGCAAGTAATGGGCTCCTGCCTGTGTTCCTCTCAAGATCCCTTCTCTTTTCTATTCTTCTTTCTCTTTCTCTTGAGAAGGATTCAAGTGGGTGTCTTTCTTATAGTGTTTTTCCTTATAGTACCCTTTACTTCTAAATGTAGGCTCTGAGAGAACTGAAGAACCAAATGCTAAAAAATATGCATATGACAAAGCCAAACAAATTTATAATGTAGATAATCTGTATTAATAAATACTCATAAGATAGGGACACATATTGATGATTTTGTAAATGGCACCATTAAATCACTGCAGGTGAAAGAACACAAATATGGGTTTCATTTTTTTATTAGTCCTGAGTCCTGCTGAATGTCTCTGACTTTAGGCCAAGGTCAAATATTCAGCATATCTGGCTTCCAGGAAAGGTTGATTATCCTGGGTTTTTTATTAAATGTGCAGATTCCTGAAGTCCCAGACTTCTGGAAACAACATTCTTAATGGATGAGCCCAGCAATTCACATGTTTAATAAGCAATATTCAGGGTTCCTTTGTACCTCTGGAGAACCAGTGGTTGGGTGAAGGTCAAACTGCCACCACTCTGAAGCTTGTAATCCAGGCCCAGGTCAAGTAAAGTAGCATGGGACTGATTTGTCTCATAGGACAAGGTTCTTTTTTGTCTGGTTTGACCTGGATGGAGAATAGAATCACTTAGTTGTGCTTAGAAACAAACCAACCCAATGTAGGGGAGGAAAAATAATTTTTATTCTACCCTTCCAGGTTTTTGGCTGAGATGCCCTTGCTATAAAAGACACATTAACAAGAGAAGAACAAATAGATGTTGAATAAAATATATACCTCTGGGAGAGAGACCCAGGAAAACTGAGTAACTCCCTGAAACAGTCTAAGCCATCACCTTAAATACCATCTCTAGCTAAAGATGAAAGAAGATGTTGGGGGGTAGGGAGTGAGGTTATGGGAGATGATCAGGAAAAGCACAGTAAATTGAATAAGGCTGTTATGCAGATTTAAGTCCTCGCCTTCTACATGGAAGAGCTTCTAGACCATCCTTCTCTACATGGTCCTCAGAGGGGGACATGCTTTCAAATGGATATTTCCCTAATAAAAGTAAATGTATCTTACATAAAGGGCAACTTCTACTCAGTTTTCAGAGCTCTTCCTGTGTCTAGTGTTTCTTTTAAAAACAACAACAACAACAACAAAAAACAGCCTAGAATAATCCTTATGTCAAAGAGAGAGATTTCGGGGAGGCAAATTCTGCTCCCTTTCAAAATCAAAGTGTGGTATAGAGGTTAAGAAGAAGTGTTCCAGAGGCTAAAAGGACCTAAAATTTCTCTATCTCCTACCCCCCAAATTCTTACTCTCTCACTCTCCATCTCTGTCCCTTCCTCTCCCATCACATTCTTCTCTCTCTCTCTCTCTCTCTCTCTCTCTCTCGCTCTCTCTCTCTCTCTCATCTCTATGACATACACACATGTAGATGCATGTGCAGACACAAACATATTTGGAAAACCATCTGCTTTTTAAATTTTTATATTACACTTTATGTGTTAGAGTTGGTTATTTATTATTATTATTAAAGTAGATTGTCTCACTGCATCTAGTATTTATTTTATTAATCATACTTCTTTTTTAATAATCATACCTAATTCTTCTTCCATTGCAGATTTTTCTCCTGGCCTGTCCTCCATGTCCGGGAGCTACCGTGGTCTTCAAGTAAGGGAAAATTGTTTTTTTTTGCTCTGTTGCCACTGCTATTCAGACTGTTTTGTCTGTTTGATAACCTAGGATGATGAACTCATTGCTGTGAACACCTTGGACCTGCACTCCTTTGTCTCTGGGCATCCCAAGGGACAAAAGTCTGTGTAACAGGCAAATGTTGTATGTGGACATTTTGTCAAGCCCAGACAAAGCCTTTTCAGCTATTTCTTGTAGTGGTGGTTTATGGCCAAGGCATGCTCCCTTGGAAGTTAGCCACCTTCCTAAACTTTCTCTCGAGAGTGAGTTGGGGTACAGACATCTTCCCTCATTTCAAGAATCTTTTCATTGTGGTCCTGCTGCTCCACTGAGGATATGTCTTCACTTTGAAGGCTTTTGTTCTTGTGTTTTTATTCCCTTAAAATTAAAGTGAGGAGAGAAAAATATTACTTATTACAAGTTCTATCTTTCTTAAAAATAGCGAACATTAAATCCATTAAGGTGTATTTCAGGCAAATCCTGTTTATCTGAAGGCAAGTTTGCTTTAGCAAAATTCTCAAGAGTCCTAGAAGCCTCATTGTAACTGTGAGTTGTGGCCATCTCATTTACCAAGCCTTTTATTAGAGTTGCTAATGAGACGCTAAGTTGAAAAAATTAATTTCATCTCTTTTCTGCTGCCCTGGCCCCCATTTTGGAGCTGTTCCTGAGCACTGAAATGGCCACAGGCCAGAGGGAAGGGACAGGAAATAAAGAGCCCCGAAGATCCTTGGATAATTGAGAGTGGTGTAAATGGCTTTCTGATTTACTTAAGTCATTAAAGTGTTATGTAGGGGGAAATATACCCTATTTGCTGCTTCAAATAGCTTCTTGGAAGACACTTGGGAGACACTTAGTCTCTTGGCTTTGGTGAGTAACTTTCTGCTAGATGGGAGGTAATGGATCCTGATTTTATATATTTCCTACTTGGACAGCTCCTAAGCAAGAAGGGGTATTTAACCCTGTCTCCTCCCTTGATTTCCCAAAATAAGCTCAAATTTTTAGTGTAAAGTTTTCAAAGTAACATGTATTAGTTTTATTTCATTATTATGAAAGTAATAAATCTCATTATAGAAAATGTAGAGACACATAAAGAAGAAAATAAACATCACCCTTAATCCTTTCATTGAGAGATAATTTTGGTTATTTCTTTTCTTTTCTTAATAAACAGTGATCCTCTTTAGAATTTTTACTACAACTTTTGTAAACAATTCATTTTATATATACATTTTATACATAAACTACATACATATGATTGCTGGATTTGTTTTTATAGTGGTTTTTTTTCCCCCTTTGTTTTGTTTGGCTCCTCTGTCTAATATATATACATATTTGATTTCAGAGAGGAAGGGAGAAGGAGAGATAGATAGAAACATCAATGATGAGAGAGAAGCATTGATCGGCTGCCTCCTACACGCCCCCCACTGGGGATCGAGCCCACAACTAGGGCATATGCCCTGACCAGGAATCAAACCTGGGACCCTTCAGTCCGCAGGCTGATGCTCTATCCACTGGGCCAAACTGGCTAGGGCCTCCGTCTATCTTTCCATGCCATCCTTGCATATTACCAAACAAGTATGTTTCCTTCCATATTTTATTCCATGCTTGTATGTGTATATACACACACACCTTTACACACACACACTTAACATGAGTTTTTGTTGTTTATTTTGTAAAAATAGAATTGTATACATAATTTAATACAACTTGCTTTTTTACTCAACATTATCTCATGGAAAACCTATTGGTATAACTCTTACTCATATATATATATATATTGATTTCAAAGAGGAAGGGAGAGGGAGAGAGAGATAGAAACATCAATGATGAGAATCATTGATTGACTGCCTCCTGCATGCCTCCCACTGGGGATCAAGCCCACAACCTGGGCATGTGCCATGACCGGGAATTGAACTGTGACCTCCTGGTTCATAGGTCGACACTCAACCACTGAGCCACGCCAGCTGGGCTACCTTGTATTCTTTTAAGACAAGGGTGCACAAAATTTTATAGAGGCACAACAATTTATTTAGCCATTCTCCTATTAATGAACATTTACATTCATTCTTTCTAGATTTCTGCCACTATAATCAGTGCTGAAATGAACATCATTATGCATATGTCCTTACATACTACTGGTGCTACATACACACACACACACACACACATGAATTTATATATATTTGTTAACTATATGTTCATATTGATTTAAAAAAACAGGCCATTATAATTTACTTTTACCTTTTGTATGTAATATATGAGATTATTCATTTCTTCATAATGCTACCAGCATAAGGTGTCATGGTTCTTTTATAATTTTGATAACTTAATGGATGAATTTCCTTGGCTACTAATGCATTTTATTATTATTTCATACTTTTTTTGCCCAATTAAATTTGCCTTTTGAATTGTCTGTTCATATTATTTGCCCATTCTTATAGGTTGTTTGTATTTTTCTTAATTTGTAAGACCTCCTTGAATATTTTTGATATTGCACCTATGTCTACCTTTGTTATAGATAATCTCTCCCAAATCTGTATGTATTGGGTTTGCTGGTGGTATATTTTTTCAACATAATATTTTAATTTTTCATATACAAATATGACTCTTTTATTAAATAGGTTCTGGTTTCTAGTCTGGGTTAAAACCATTTTCTTAAAAGTTGTAGTAGCATAATATATTATGTAAGTAAGTCCCTACTTTTCCCTGTGAACCAAACTATCATCCTTGTCATCTAGTAAACTTTTTAAAATTGAGTTTATTGGACTAATATTGTTTAATAAAATTATATAGGTTTCAGGTGTACAATTGTATAATACATCATCTGTATATTGTATTGTATGTTCACCATCCAAAATCAAGTCTTTTTTTTTATCACCATTTATCCCTTTTATTACCCTCTTTTACCTCTTACCACCCACATTTCCCTATAGTAATCTACAGTAATCATCATACTGTTGTCTGCCTATGAGTTTATTTATTTAATTATTTTTGCTTAATCCCTTCACCTTTTTCACCCAGCACCTAACACCCTCCCCTCTGACATCTGTCAGTCTGTTTTCTGTATCTACGAGTCTGCTTCTATTTTGTTTGTTAGTTTATTTTGTTCACTAGATTCCACATATGAGTGACATCATGGTATTTGTCTTTCTCTGACTGGCTTATTTCACTTAGCATAATACTCTTCAGGTCCATCCATGCTGTCGCAAAAGGTAAGAATTCCTTCTTTTTTACAGCCAAATAGTATTCCATTGTGTAAATGTACCACAGCTTTTTTATCCACTCATCTACTAATGAGCACTTGGGCTGCTTCCAAATCTTGGCTATTGTAAATAATGCTTCAATGAATATAGGGGTACATGTATTGTTTCAAATTAGTGTTTCGGGTTTCTTCGGATATATTCCAAGAAGTGGAATCACTAGGTCATAAGGCAGTTCCATTTTAACTTTTTGAAGTAATTGCACACTGCTTTCCACAGTGGCTGCACTAGTATGCATTCTCTCCAACAGTGCATGAGGGTTCTCTTTTCTCCCCATCCTCCCTAACGCTTCTTTGTTGATTTATTGATGACTGGTGTGAGGTGATAATCTCATTATTCTTTTAATTTGCATTTAAAAGAACATTGATTAGTGACATTGAGCATCTTTTCATATGTCTCTTGGTCATCTATATGTCCTCTTTAGAGAAATATCTATTCAGGTCCTTTGCCTGTTTTTTAATTGAATTGTTTGGGGGGTTTTTTGGTGTTGATTTGTATCAGTTCTTTATAAATTTTGGATATTAACCCCTTATCAGATATATCATTGACAAATATGTTCTCCCATTCAGTGGGTTGTCTTTTAATTTTGGTGATGGTTTCCTTTGCTGTGCAAAAACTATTTAGTTTGATGCAATTCCGTTTGTTTATTTTTCCTTTTGTTTTTGTTGCCCGAGGAAATATATCAGAAAGAATATTGCTATAAGAAATGTCTAAGATTTTACTGCCTATGTTTTCTTCTAGAAGTTTTATGGTTTCAAAACTAACACGAAAGCCTTTAATCTATTTTAAGTTTATTCTTATGTATGGTGTAAGAAGATGGTCCAGTTTCATTTTCAGCACATATCTGTCCAAAGTTTCCAACACCATTTTTTGAATAGGCCATCTTTACCCCATTGTAAGTTCTTGTGTCCTTTGTCAAATATTAATTAAGCAAAATGGCTTGGGTCGATTTCTGGGTTCTCTTTTCTGTTCCATTGGTTTATATGTCTGTTCTCATACCAGTACCAGGCAGTTTTGAGTACAGTGGCTTTATAGTATAACTTGTTATCTGGTATTGTGATCCCTCCAACTTTGTTCTTCTTTCTCAAGATTGCTGTAGCTATTCGGGGTCTTTTTTGGTTCCATATAAATTTTTGAAGAATTTGTTCTTGATCTGTGAAATATATCATTGGTATTTTAATAGGGATTTCATTGAATCTATGGATTGCTTTCGGTAGTATGGACATTTTTAAAATGTTAATGATTCTAATCCATGAAGATGATATATGCTTCTACTTGTGTTTTTTTCATTTTCTTTCTTCAGTGTCTTATAATTTTCTGAATATCAGTCTTTTGTATCCTTGTTTTAATTTTTTTTTTAAGAAGGTGTGAATAGAGCCCTGATCTGAGGCCGTATGTTGGATGTCAGGGGTTCTAGCACCTTTTTTTTTTTTTTTAAATCTTCATTGATTTCAGAAAGGAAGGGAGAGGGAAAGAGAGATAGAAACATCAGTGATGTGAGAGAATCATTGATCGGCTGCTCCTGCATGTCCTCCACTGGGGATTAAACCCGCAACCCAGGCATGAACTGGGTTGCGGTTCGAACCCAGGACCCTTCAGTCTGCAGATTGACTCTCTATCCATTGAGTTAAATCAGCCAGGGCTCCTTGTTTAAATTTATTCCTAGGAGTATTTATTATTGTTTTGGTGGATTCTTTAGGGATTTTCTATGTACAGTATCAT